CATAATAATAAAATGTCTTCATATCTATTTTAACAACATTAGGGATTATAATTAGCAAGGGGAAGAGTGATTAGAGTCAATTCTCCATCTCTAGCTATACTTTTTTAGGGTTTAATTTTAATTGGACACTGAAGAAAAGATGATGAATATCTTAGGTTTGCTTAGTTATTTTCTTGGGATGTATTTCTGTTCAATTAGAAATGTTTCTGTACGATATTAGGTCTAGTGGCCCCTTGTTGGCTTACAACTACATAGTTGGTTTCATTCATTTGTAAATGTTGGCACAACTGAGCGCCTTAGAATGACAGCCACTTCCTTTAGTTATTAAAAAAGATGCATGGACATTTTTTAGAAATTCTAAAATAATAAAGATACGCTTATTTTATTCAAAGTTTCTAGACTAGAAACTGAGTGGGAATTAAATAATGAGTAGTATTTCAAATAATAAGTGTATGAGGTATATCTTATGCTTATACTACCAGTAGGGTTACCAACTGTCCTGCATTTTGGTGGACGTCCACCATTTGGGGTGCATTGTCCAGTGTCCTGCAATAATCTATTGTAGGACGCTTGTACTTAATTTCAGTATTCCAAAAAATATCTCCCATTTCTTATATTTGCTATATAGTCACATTGACAAATTATTAGTAGCTGCAAGGAGTAAACAAAATATGATTTTAAACGCAGTGACTGTTAAGTAGCTGTAACTTTTTATATTCTTTTTAAATAAAATGTTTAATCCTATTTCGATTTGTTTATTTAAGGTTATTTTTTTTGCAATAATAAAATTGTCCAGAATTTATACCGTATGTCCTGAATTTTTATTACCCTCGTCTTAAAAACAAAGTTGGCAAACCTAACTACCAACTATTTTATCCATGCCATAGGATCTTTATTTGAACATAATTCTATTTTTTTTTTTTTGTAAATACCCTAAATAAAAGTCAACATTTAGTTTCATATAAAGTTAAAAACGAAACAAATGAAATTGGCCACCCTGTAAATAACTGTACTTCTCGAACAAACGTGGATTAAATACCAACGCACCTGTGAACTTGACCATGTTTTATTGAACTCAAACTTCAAGGATATGAGACAAGATGGCGGTGAGAAATTGTTTCAAGTTTAAGTTCAACGTTACGAAAACAGATGGCGATTTATTCTTGTTTTGCTTTTAATGTTTTATTGCGTGAACACAATAACGATTTATATTATTTTATTGAAGATAAATGAAATAAATCAAAATTACTTTTTACGGTTAATATAAATAACAAAGGTTAGTTTATTTAACAATATTAATAGTGTTTTAAAAACCTCCAAGATGTCGCTGATCTAGAATAATACAATAGAATGGAACGCTGGAATTAGGATGATAGAAAGTTATTTTGAATAGTCTTGTTTAGAGGTTCAAAGGTGTCGCTAGAGAAACTTTCAGTAAATGAAACGTGAATAGAAATTAGTTTTGTATCTGGCATTCATTCTTAATATTTTTCTGTAGGTTATTTTTCTGCTTTTATTTTACCGCAAGATTCTGCAAGATTTTGCAAGATTCTGCAAGAATCTGGAAGATTCTGGAAGGTTCTGGAAGATTCTGGAAGATTCTGGAAGATTCTGGAAGATTCTGGAAGATTCTGGAAGATTCTGGAAGATTCTGGAAGATTCTGGAAGATTCTGGAAGATTCTGGAAGATTCTGGAAGATTCTGGAAGATTCTGGAAGATTCTGGAAGATTCTGGAAGATTCTGGAAGATTCTGGAAGATTCTGGAAGATTCTGGAAGATTCTGGAAGATTCTGGAAGATTCTGGAAGATTCTGGAAGATTCTGGAAGATTCTGGAAGATTCTGGAAGATTCTGGAAGATTCTGGAAGATTCTGGAAGATTCTGGAAGATTCTGGAAGATTCTGGAAGATTCTGGAAGATCCTGGAAGATTCTGGAAGATTCTGGAAGATTCTGGAAGATTCTGGAAGATTCCGGAAGATTCTGAAAGATTCTGAAAGATTCTGAAAGATTCTGAAAGATTCTGAAAGATTCTGAAAGATTCTAAAAGATTCTGAAAGATTCTGAAAGATTCTGAAAGATTCTGAAAGATTCTGAAAGATTCTGAAAGATTCTGAAAGATTCTGAAAGATTCTGAAAGATTCTGAAAGATTCTGAAAGATTCTGAAAGATTCTGAAAGATTCTGAAAGATTCTGAAAGATTCTGAAAGATTCTGAAAGATTCTGAAAGATTCTGAAAGATTCTGAAAGATTCTGAAAGATTCTGAAAGATTCTGAAAGATTCTGAAAGATTCTGAAAGATTCTGAAAGATTCTGAAAGATTCTGAAAGATTCTGAAAGATTCTAAAAGATTCTGAAAGATTCTGAAAGATTCTGAAAGATTCTGAAAGATTCTGAAAGATTCTGAAAGATTCTGAAAGATTCTGAAAGATTCTGAAAGATTCTGAAAGATTCTGAAAGATTCTGAAAGATTCTGAAAGATTCTGAAAGATTCTGAAAGATTCTGAAAGATTCTGAAAGATTCTGAAAGATTCTGAAAGATTCTGAAAGATTCTGAAAGATTCTGAAAGATTCTGAAAGATTCTGAAAGATTCTGAAAGATTCTGAAAGATTCTGAAAGATTCTGAAAGATTCTGAAAGATTCTGAAAGATTCTGAAAGATTCTGAAAGATTCTGAAAGATTCTGAAAGATTCTGAAAGATTCTAAAAGAAAGATTCTGAAAGATTCTGAAAGATTCTGAAAGATTCTGAAAGATTCTGAAAGATTCTGGAAGATTCTGGAAGATTCTGGCAGATTCTGAAAGATTCTGGAAGATTCTGGAAGATTCTGGAAGATTCTGGAAGATTCTGGCAGATTCTGGAAGATTCTGGAAGATTCTGGAAGATTCTGGAAGATTCTGGAAGATTCTGGAAGATTCTGGAAGATTCTGGAAGATTCTGGAAGATTCTGGAAGATTCTGGAAGATTCTGGAAGATTCTGGAAGATTCTGGACGATTCTGGAAGATTCTGGAAGATTCTGGAAGATTCTGGAAGATTCTGGAAGATTCTGGAAAATTCTGGAAGATTCTGGAAGATTCTGGAAGATTCTGGAAGATTCTGGAAGATTCTGGAAGATTCTGGAAGATTCTGGAAGATTCTGAAAGATTCTGGAAGATTCTGGAAGATTCTGGAAGATTCTGGAAGATTCTGGAAGATTCTGGAAGATTCTGGAAGATTCTGCAAGATTTTTTAAGGTTCTGCATACTTTTGCAAGATTATTCAAAAACTTTAGATTTGATGACTGATTCGTAAAAGCTACACCTTCCACCACAATACGTCACCGTGACGTATAGTACCAATCTGCCTAATATCATACCTTCTTTTTATAGTATCATGGGAAACATTACCATTGTTTGGTTATTTTTATCTCGCCATAGCCTTAAGGTTTTGTTTTTTATTACACAATTATTACACAATTATTACACAATTATTACACAATTATTACACAATTATTACACAATTATTACACAATTATTACACAATTATTACACAATTATTACACAATTATTACACAATTATTACACAATTATTACAAAATTATTACACAATTATTACACAATTATTACACAATTATTACACAATTATTACACAATTATTACACAATTATTACACAATTATTACACAATTATTACACAATTATTACACAATTATTATACAATTATTACACAATTATTACACAATCATTACACTATTATTGCACAATTATTAAACAATTATTACACAATGATTACACAATTAATACACAATTATTACACAATTATTACACACTTATTACACAATTGTTACATAATTATTACATAATTATAACACAATTATTACACAATTATTACACAATTATTACACAATTATTACACAATTATTACACAATTATTACACAATTATTACACAATTATTACACAATTATTACACAATTATTACACAATTATTACACAATTATTACACAATTATTACAAAATTATTACACAATTATTACACAATTATTACACAATTATTACACAATTATTACACAATTATTACACAATTATTACACAATTATTACACAATTATTACACAATTATTGCACAATTATTACACAATTATTACACAATTATTACACAATTATTATACAATTATTACACAATTATTACACAATCATTACACTATTATTGCACAATTATTAAACAATTATTACACAATGATTACACAATTAATACACAATTATTACACAATTATTACACACTTATTACACAATTGTTACATAATTATTACATAATTATAACACAATTATTACACAATTATTACACAATTAGTACACAATTATTACACAATTATTACACAATTATTACACAATTATTACACAATTATTACACAATTATTACACAATTATTACACAATTATTACACAATTATTACACAATTATTACACAATTATTACACAATTATTACACAATTATTACACAATTATTACACAATTATTACACAATTATTACACAATTATTACACAATTATTACACAATTATTACACAATTATTACAAAAGTACTACACAATTATTACACATTTATTACACAATTATATTACAATTATTATTATAATATGTTCTCCCACCACGAGTAGCTTAAAGGTCACCTATTTTTATAAGAGTAAAATTAAGTACTGACTCGAAGAATCCCTAAGAATGATCGCTAACGGGTCAAAATGACGATATTGACAAAAATACTGGCATCAATTCCTTTGAAATGTTAAAGAAATGTCAGTTGTGCATAATAAATTCCATAAATTATAAATCAGGATGCATATATAAATATTAGAAAATCCCTTCACATCGATAGGTATGTTAAAAATGTCAAAACTGAATAACACTTTTTTTTAAATTATCACAAAATTATAAAAAAAGAAATTCCTATGTCAAAATTTACTTTTTAAATAACTATAACTGTTTTGAAAAATTGTCTTATTTTATATTTTTATTTATTTGGTTTTAGGGAGACTACTAGCTCGTCAGTTTCTTCTGCCACTCCTCTTAGGATTCAAATTCAACGTCGTCAGCATCATTCCGGTGCTGTTTGGCGTCCTAGCACTAATAGCAAAAAAGGCTCTTGTAATCAGCAAAATAGCATTAGTTGCTTCGAGTGCATTTGCTCTGGGAACACTTTTATTTGGATCATCTGGGTATGGACAAGGTTATCCTAGTCAGCACTATACAACAGGACATTTTGGAGGTCACGGAGGTCACGCAAGTCACGGAGGTCATGGTGGTCATGGAATTCTCGGGGGAGGACATTTTGGTCACCAGGGTCACGGAGGATTTCACGGATACACGAAGTAAGTTCTGGAAACAGAGTTAAACTTATTTTAAATGTTTATGAATTCTAAAAACGCAGATGGTACAGTATCTTTTGTTAGAATTAAAAGAAATATTGTAAATAATAATAATACCGAATGATTTAAATTTTCGTGTCCAATCTCTACCCAAAGTCTGTATTGTGCCCTGTCTATGAATACTAGAGAGAAACAAATTTATTGTAGATGGCGGATCGTTCGTAACTGACGTTCATTTTTCTACATAACAAGTCTTTTTAAAGCCTTCTTAAGGGATTTTCTCATTTTTGTCTTCTTTTTCGCCTTCTTCTTTCCTTTATTCTTCTCTTTTTCTACTCTTTCTTCATCTCTTTCGTTTTCTCTTTCTTCATCTCTTTCTTTTTCTTCTTCTTATTTGCTCTTTTTTTTTGATGTTCTGTATCAATTTTCACATTTTTAAGGGTTATTTGTTTCACGGTTACTAAATTTAATATTATTACCTGCCAAAAATTACAATTATGTCATTGTCAAGAAATAAATGACGATAATCATCGTTGTCTGTCATCGTAAATCATCGTCTTATCATCGATAGTTATTCAATAAATTTGTAATAAAAGTAAAAAAAAAAAATAATTTTTTGTACCCTTATTATGATATTATAATCGTTACTTAACGAATTAGTTTTATAACGGGTCAGTTTTATAACAAAATAGTTTTATAACCAATTAGTTTCATAACGAATTAGTTTTATACCGAATTAGTTTAATAACGAACTTGTTTTATAACGAATTTATTTTTATAACGAATTAGTTTTATGACAAATTAAATTAGTTCATAACGTCGCCGATAGGTATCTCTAGATATCCTTCTTCTTTTAGTCGCATCTTACTTCTACTTAACTTTTAGAAGCATTCCCGTTTTTGATATTTAAATTATCTCTCTTTCAAGATTGTTATTTTTAATTTATAGGTATTCTGGAGAAGATGAAGACTATCCTGACACATTGTTGAGAGAAACTAATAGACCTACTATGGATCAGTTGACTGTGTTTCCAAACGTGGTGACATCACCTGATAGTAGTAGTCGCGTAGATATAACCAAAGGAAGAAATTTCGCCTGGAGCGATGCTGAAAAGAAAAAGAAACCAAAGGAAATTTGAATCATAATTTGTCAATAATTTTGAAGTTTATTTTCGTAGTAAATTGATGAAAATTGCTAAAAATTATTGTGTTTCTTAAAATTCAAATTTTTATAAGAAAAAGAGATAGACCGAATGTATTTTTTACAAAATATGAGAAAGCATATTCGAAAATATCTATTAAATTTATTGAACCAAGAAATAATAAAAAAATAAGCCGCCATTATTTTTTTTTAATTGTAGACTGTTTATATTTTTAAGTAGTTATAGCAGCACTATAATCCACTAAACTAGACAATATTTTTCTCCAGATCTGGGAAAAAATTAAACCGGCATCAATGTAATGTCATTGACTAAGCGTATGGCAAAGCTCAAAACTTCTTAAAATTCCACATCAGTAACCCATTTTTCCACATTTCAATAAAATCCAAGATAAATCCAAGATTACCGCTTTATGAAAAATAATTACTCATTACAAGTTTTTATTACAATATTTGCATACTATTTAAATACTATCTGAATAATACATTAATAATACTACTACTACTTGAATACTACTTGAATTATACTTGGATACAACTTGAATACTTTTAGTCAATGGCATTACGGTGTTGTCAGTTAAATTTTTTCCCTTGACCTGGGCAATAATCTGACCTAGTGGAGTATAGTGTTTTTTTAGGTTATTATTAAATATGGAAATTTTTTATACATTTTTTAAATTGATTATTAAATAGTTAATGATTTTTAAATACCTTTTAATTCCCCCTTTTTTTTTCTTTTTAAAATATAGAATGTAATAACAAAAAGAAACCTTCAAAAAAAATTAGATAAACATGCCCAATATCAAAATAAAATACCGATACAATATATTACAAGACTAATCGAGGTGGTATATTACAATATTTTATACAGTACGTTTAGAAAAATTCATTGTTTTCCAAAAAGCTGGAAACAGTAATAGTTTAAGACTTCTCTTGATATCAATGATTAAATAGCCTTTTTTTTCTAAAATTCTGCAAAAATCATGATTTCTGTCAATTTTATGACCTACATTTTATAAAAAGACCTACAAATTTATTAGTACAGGATTGTTTTATAAATAAATTGTTAAAAGATCTTTCTCCGCCATACCACAGACCATATATGAATTTTACAGTCAAATTCTACAATGAGTAATATTTCTGGAAAACTGGAATATAAAAAAAAACATTTTTTTGACATAAACATTGCTAGTGCTGGGTGCTTTTGCCATGTTGAAAAAATCAAATTAAATTTTCTATATATGCCTATTCATAGTTAAGGTTTTACTAATGACGTAATAGTTTAATATCGTCATATCGTTAATAAATAAAATAAAAAGTCCCAAAATGGAACCCTGATTTTGGTGTTCCACAGATCATTTTGCACTTGTTCCGATTGAATATTTTCGATTATTTATAAAATATTTAAGCCAGTTATGGGCAATTCCCTTTATCCCATACATCCCATATATACAGATAAAGTATATTTATTTAAAAGGATCTCATGATTGATCTAGTCGAATGCCCGAATGAGTTCACAAAATATTTTAACCGGATACTCACTTATACGAGGATAGGATGAAAAGTTTCCGGCCTAACATAGAACGCAACATAATAGTGACTGAATAAGAATTTATTTTTCTACATAGTCCCCTTGTAGGGTAATACATTTGACTTAACGATGTTCAATTTTTTTTAGGTTTGGAAACAAATAAAAGTCTGACGGGGCTAGGTTTGGCGAATACGGAGAATGGTTTAACAGTTCAAAGCCAAGCTGATGAATTTTAGCCATTACAAGAACATACTTGTGGCAAGGTGCATTGTCCTGTTGAAACAGAATTTTCTTTTTTGCCAAACCAGGACGTTTTTCGCTTGTATTCTGCTTAAGCTGGTCCAGTAAGTCGCTTTAGTACTCGGAATTTATTGTTCTTTCCTTTTTGAGATAATCTATTAGAAGTATCCCTTTAGAATCCCAAAAGACCGTTGCCATGACCTTTCCACCAGACGATTCTGCCTTTGCCTTCTTTGAAACTGGTTCGTCCTTTGCCGTCCACTGTTTGGACTGTTGTTTAGTTTCAGAGGTATAATGATAAACCTATGTTTCATCAACCGTAATAAATCTACGCAAAAAGTCCCCTGGATCACGTCTAAACAGTGCCAAATTTTCCTCTTAAATGGTTAGCCGCGTGAGCTTCTGATCTGACGTGAGCAAACGCGGCACCCATCGGAAGGATAGCTTTCTCATACCTAAAACTTCACACAAAATATAGTGAACTCGCTCTTTTGATATGCCTACAGCCTCAGCTACCTCTTCCAATTTTAATTTGTTACTTTTTAGAATTAGTTTGTGAACGGTTTGCACTATTTCTTCAGAAGTTGCCGTTTTTGGCCTGCCAGAACGCGGAGCATTATCAGTGCTAGTACGAGCACGTTTAAAGTCTGCTACCCAGATTTTAACTGTGGTAAATGAAGGAGAAGATTTCTCTAGTGTAGCATCTTGTTCAGCTTTTATTTTCGTCGGCGATAATCCTTTGATATGGAAATATTTTATCACCGCTCTTATATCGTTTTTTCCATCTTTTAAAAATGGCGCACTTTAAAAGCTTTTAAAATACCCAGGACACAAATTACTTGACGCACTCACTTTAAACTTCGAGCTTATACTGACGACAAGCAAGGCTACACAGACACGTTAGAACAGGAAATCAAATCGGGCCTACCTCGTATGTTTCAGTATAAATTAGTTATTGACTGTGACATAAATAAAGTGTCGTAGTTGTTCTTTTATCACATTATTTATTTCATCTTTATTTAAAATAGCTAGAATCACTTTTATAGGTTTAAAGAATTCTCCTTCCATTCCAGTCATTTAGGAAATTTATTATAATAGCAATTTATTCAAATTTAATTAATTAAAATCAGTAATTTATCAAAAAAAAAATAATAATAATAAAGGAAAAGACAAAACTAGAAGTCTTTGTCACAGAAACAATGGGCGAATATTTCCCTTCTGAAAACAACGACTCCTTTGGCTAATACCGCAGCAGGCATTTTATTATATCAAAAGGTAAATAGCAAAGAAAAAATAATTTTAAACACTCTAAGTTTGATTTTCCTTCCTAAAGAGAAAGTCATCTTGGACCGATTTCATCCTTATTAGGACCCTTCAGCAAGAAATAGACCATCTCGACTCCAGTCACTGATGGGAGTCTAAAGGCAATACAAAATTTACTCGTACACATTAGCAGCGGCTCAGAGAGTGTGTAAATAAATATTCATCAAAAATATGCACCTTCATGGTTTATTTTAAATTAAGTCACATTTAGGAATTTTTTAAAGTTCTGTTTTTATTTTACACAGATCTATGTTCAGGTAATTGATCCTTTAGCTTCATTCACTTTCGTTTGAACGAGATGTAGAACTAACGGTCTGTACAACAATTCAGAGCATAAAAACATCAAGATATTAATAATTACGAGATGTCTACTATTATTAGGAATATATGGACCAGAGTCGGTAACAGTATTTACAGTAACGTTTAATTTCAGTAATTTGATCATATTTATTTAGGATTGTTAATAAGAACATAACATCGTTGATCGGGTAAAAATCAAAAGGTGCTTATTTAGAATTGTTATTATTGTACTATATACACGGTGTTCCAGAAGTGTTTGTCTCATTTTGACTACAAATATCTCGGGATACAATAACTTTTTAACACTTCCTAAGGCCACAATAGCACACTTCAATATTCGTAACAATAATTAAATTTGATAAATGTCATCATAGAAAAACTAAAGGAGCAGGTTTGAATAATAGGCGCGAATTGTTTCCTTGTGGGTAGTTTATCATATCGCACTTCACGAGCTGCAATCACTAAATATAAAGCCGTTTTTACACCCATATAATAATTAAAAAATGAATAAATATTAAAGAAATCAATAACTTTACTAATGCAATTTCTTAAATATCACTTTAATATAATATTTGATTAAATACAGGGATAATTGTTACAAATATATAAAGTTAAAGCTAAATTTGAATAATAAGAGGTGGTGTAAATCTGGCTTTGATAATAAATTAGGTTATGTTGCTGTTGCATTAAAACATGACAGATATGTTCCTGGAAAATGTAGGTGAGTAAAATGTCATTAAACTATTTTAGATTTAGGTAATTTATAGCTGTAAAAATATACTGAGGTTCTAAGGATGTCATTAATTATAATCATCAAATTCTGGTCTGGACAAAGAAAATTATTGGTGTTTACGAAGAGAAGTTATTAACAGTTGTTTCTACTACTGCGACTTTTAACTAAAATGGTAGGGATGACAAAAGAAGCAAAATTGACAGATTTGTTAAAGTTTGACCATGTCACTTGTCGTATTTTTCTTTTTTTATATATATTCTTTTATATTGTTTTTGATAGTCTTTGCTGTTATGGTGAAATGTAATAGTAGTGTCTTTATTATTACTATTTATTTGTTATTATATTGTTGTTACTATTATTATTATTATATTGTTGTTATTTTTTAATATTATATTATTATTGTTTTATTCATATTATTATTACCATTGTTATTATTAATATATACTATAGGGACCGTGCGTAAAATATAGAGGCAGCACTACTGCCGAAGTTAGCCCTCTCTAGTGTTTAATTTTAGAATTAAATGGGGTAAACATTGCAAGTAAATAATAAAGAATATTTTTTAAAATATTAAATATAGTTAAATATAGATACCGGCCCGTACCAAACAATCGGGTACATGGTCAAAATGATAAAAAATGTAAAACATTATTTAAATCTGGACATGTATATACATTTTAAGCAAAAAGATTTATATGGCTAATTGACAATAAATTGTAAAGTTGTACCTTAAACAAGTGTATCCAATGTCAAAATATCGGTATTTAGTAACACTGAATTTAAAAGTATTACAATAACATTTAAAAAATGTAAATTAATAAAAAAGATTGGGAAAAATTTATGTTAGTCGAAA